CACAACAGGTGCAAGCTGGAGCATAGGAGGTTCCACATTAACATAAGGAAAAACTTTTTCACTGTGAAGGTGATAGAGCACTGGAACAGGCTGCTCAGAGAGGTTGTGGAGTCTTCTCTGGAGAGATTGAAAACCTGCCTGGACACGTTCTTGTGCGACCTACTCTAGGTGGTCCTGCTCTGGCAGGGGGTTTGGACTGGATGATCTTTCAAAGTCCCTTCCAACCCTTAACACTCTGTGATTCTGTGATTTTGTGATCACTGGGTCCTAGTAAAATACCTATTGCAGATTAATTTCACTTACCCATGCTTTTCGAAGTGTTTCATTTCGATGCGCTGTTCTCATAGCTATTTGGATACTGCCAGATAACTACTGAGTTCCGTTTGAATGGAAGCTGATTCTTTGCAGACATACATTTCATGTATTAACTAATTTTGTAAAACGCTTTAGGGTCCTGTTACAGCCCCTATAAATGGCTGCCTGCTGCCTTTGTTCTACACATTTTGCAAAGACATTTTTAAAGACAAGTCTTTTCTGGAAAATATATAGACGAAACTATAAACAAATGAATGTAAGATACGTACCAGCTGAGGCAGAGAGTAAGAAACACTACTAAGACAGGCATTTTTGATAACACATCACATTTCTTGCATGCATTTGGCATAAAATACATTCTTTGGCAACAGTACTGCATAAATGGGTGTGCAGAAATCATTGAAATAAGGTAATAGTGGGAGCTTGATAAAAGAGACTTGGACCATTTTTGTAGAAAAAAGGCAAAAATGGAAGGTACATAAAAAAGATATGAATTAGGTAAATAAGAGGTAAATCAATAATAAGCCTTTTTGCCTACTCTCTGTATGAAATTACTAGGCTTTCATAAACAACTCGTTCTAATAATATTGTCTCTGTTAAGAGTAACTTATCTGTGGGACATCTGCCTCAATGCATAAAAGCAAACACAGGTAATATGCTATAAAACACTATCAGTAAGGAGGGTAAAAGGAAGAATTCACAAGGAAAAAACAAGCTTTAAGAATAATTTTATAGGAGGAGAGGAACCAAGCAGTGAGAGACTGGGACAAACATAGTTGGTAACTTGAGAAGCAAATTCAAAGCAAAAGATTAGTGCAGAATAGAAGTATATTGAGAAACCCAAGAAGAGACACAATGGAAGTCAATGAGAACAAAATTCAGTGTGGTTAAAGTTATCTAGGGCAATGGAGACAAAAAGTAGGGTACTGTATCTAGAGGCAAGAAATTAATCAGGAAGGTTTGACGTCATTGAAATACAGAAGGAAAGAGCAGTAGAAGGTTCATGTTTCAGAAAGGCTTGTTTGGGTATTCTGCAGCATCATTCTTATACAGTCTGTGAACGGTGTAGGATTCAGTGGGGAAGTATTCAGTGAGCTGTCACTGAATGTATTTATAGCCATGCCTTCTACGACATAAGATACTGAAAGTATAAGCAAGAGGTTTGCCATCTAAAAGGTTAATTAATATTATCCTAAAAAAGCGTTAAATATTTTGCAAAAGGATTATATCACCACACCATTCCAATTCAACATTATTAAATATTTTCTCCATATTTTCCTTTCTTTTTTTTTAGTTTGTCTTTTCTGCCCATGTCTCAACATTATTGTTTAGGTTCACTGAAAACATGCTTGTTTACAAAACTTATGGACATCTTTTCACATAAAATCTCCATTATATAAATATATCAAACTGAAGTAAAATAACTTCTGTATTTTCAAATTTACTTACAACCAACATTTTTAAGGCAACTTTTTCTACCTAACAGGATGATCTCAAGAGGCATGTGTTAGAAAAATACTTTGTTGCCTTTATTATCACAACACTTGTCATCACCTGCATTATCCTGAAAGCAATACTATTATGGATGTTATTCACAGTGAAAATGAACATATTCTAGACAGAGTTTTAACTATTGCTGTGGTGGAGAGTGATCTTTGACTCAAAATTAAGAAGTTATTACTCTGAGCTAGACTTGCTGTTTGTAGGAAGAAAAACCTGTCACTTAGAGCGCTACATCAGTGGATGTTGGCTGCTACCCAGTGAACTGCTGAGTGTCTCTATTCTCATCTAAGCTTATTGGACTAGTGTTTCCTTAGTGTCCAGCAGTGTATAGAATAGTCCCTAATGCAGGGTCTTACCCTGCAGTCCTGGTGTGTACGACTAATCCTTACTCAAGTCAATGGGTCTACTCACTTGACTAGGGTTGAAGGTGATGAGATTCTTAATCTCAGCTGTAGGACCGTATGCTGGTTTTGGCTTAGGTAGAGTTAGTTTATTTCATAGTAGCTAGTATGGGGCTATGTTTTGGATTTGTGATGAAAACAGTGTTGATAACTCAGAGATGTTTTAGTTACTACTAATCAGTGCTTACACAAGCCTTTTGTGCTCCTCATGCTGCCCTGCCAGCAAGTAGGCTAGAGGTGCACAGAAAGTTGGAAGGACAGACAGCTGGGGCAGCTGACCCAAACTCACCAAAGGGATATTCCATACTATGTGACATCATGCTCAGCATATAAACTAGGGGGGAAGTTGGCCAGGGGTCACTGCTTAGAGACTGGCTCAGCATCCATCAGTTAGTGGTGAGCAATTGTTTTTCATTTGCATCACTTGTCTTTCTCGGGTTTTATTTCTCTCTCCTTTTTTCGGTTTTGGTGGTTTTTTTGTTATTTTCCTTCTCACTACAATTATTATTGTTGTTGTTGTTGTTGTCATTATTATTATTTTCTATAATTTTATTTCAATTATTAAACTGTTCTTATCTCAACCCAAGAGTTCTCACTTTTACCCTTCTAATTCTTCTCCCCCTCCCCCCCCCACCCCATCCTGCTAGGGGGGGAAGTGAGCAAGAGGCTCTGTGATACTTAGTTGCTGGCTGGGGTTAAACCACAACAGACCAACAAAACAAGAATAGACAAAGGCAATGCAAGGAAAATATACATAGAAAAGATGAGTGAAAAGCAAAGAACTGGTGCCTCTTTTGACGTGGTAAGCCTCAGAGGAGAAAGCATAAATCAACATAGGGATATATAGTAGGGACAACAAAACTGTTTGCATCATAAAGGTTCTTTCTGATGTTTACCTGAAAATTACTTTCAAGATTTCAACAATTTAATATACTGCATGTACGATTGAAATCAATAATATATAAATATGAAAAGTAACATCTGGGAGATAGTAGTCTTAATTACCAATGAACAGTGCAAACAATCTTCTAAATTATAATTTTGATCTATTTACTGTCAATTACAGCAATAACTAAAAGCAGACAAACAAAACCACTAGCTTAATCATCCTGTTCACCTAGGTTTTATGTCTCATCTTTGACCACATAGCAAAATCTGTAATCCTACCGTTATGAGCAACCTTTCTACTGATGGCTCAGGGCTGCATGCTCAGATTATTAAGTTTTCATTTCCCAGAATCCTGGAATGCAGAAAACCAACACTGTCTACCTTCAGTATTTTCAATTTGTCCCATGCCACTAAATACCATTTGAATAGTAGTAGAACTAGTGACCATCTCAGACCTAGAATTTATTCTGCAAAGTCATATGATGTTTTGCCATGATGAAAGCTGGCAAAAACATACAACTATGAGGAGAAACTTAACTTAATACGATTTTCATTTGAATTGATTCACAATACTTTCTACCTCCTTAAAATTCCAGCATCCTTCTTCCATTTCCTCTATTCTTTCTGGTATTGTTCAATGCTCTTTTCATTTTTCTTCTCCTCCATCCATGGTGAACCATGCTAACCTTATCCCCAAAGCCATCATAATTCAAATACACTGCTGATTACAGTGATGCCTATTATTCTTCCCTAAACAAAGGCCTTAAAATTCTGTGTGCTAAAGATATTTCTGGCCGGTAAGGTGCATCCAGCATTCAGTAAAATTCAGATTTTCTTTAAAGTAATCTGTAGTGCATATAGCTGTACAATTAACTGTCAAATGTAAAGAGAGAATAGAGTAAAACAGGCAGCTGTTCTTGATCCTCAAGCAATTTTTAACAGCATTTTAGCAGTGGACTTAGCATTTACATTTCCTGTATTGAGATTAACCATTTCGTTACTGACCATAGGATAAGGCAAAAAACATGGAAGTGGAATTCCTGGGAAATTACAAAAAAAAATTGTAACAAAGGAAAGTATTTTGGAACGACAACCGTGAAGGTCAGGAAGGGAAAGGGAAGGGGAAGGAACTGAGTGTGTAGCATCTTCCTTAGGTTGAACTGAGAAAAATCTTAGAAATAAAAATATTTTCTCAGTTGCTGAGAAACCTCAAGTATCACAATCAGGTTATGTTAGACATTTGTTCCTATTGTAATAAATATATGCACCAATCTGCAGATCTTACATAACGTAAGACATCTCTAAATATTAATTTAATACTCTACTCATACTTGCATATGTAGCTCTTTAAGAGAATATTGATTTTTATCTGGAACTGCTTCATATCGAAAACTATAGATAAATATCAGTCCCAGCTCTTGTCTCTGTGTCCTTTAAAGCCTTATATTTGACTTTAAGATCATTCTTCCCACTGAGAACAGAGCTCAGCTGGCAGGTTTGGCTGTCTGTCAACCTTTGACTAAAGACACCTGGAAAAAGCAGAGTAGTTTCATCCTGAAAATTTACAACTTAACATTCCAAAGTTTCTGCTGTGAAGTAAATACAAAACTTTCTTAGTCTCCCTAGAGTGTCTTCCAAAAAGACAGGGTAGACCGCTTGCATTTTGCAGTCTACAAATGGATGTGCACTGGCATATTCAGTCATTTAGCTTCACATAAAACTAAAAAGTTTTTAGAAGTAGAAGTCAATGACTATGTCTTGAAAGAATTTCTTTCCAGTTGTTTGGCTAGCTATGTATCCCTGCATACAGACCTGTAACAAGAGTCTTATAATGTCAGTTCAATGATTTAAAAAGCTTTATCCTAATCCTCATTTTTCTTACAAAATCCATACATGCCCAGTACACCAGGTAAGTTTGCAGCCTGAGAAATTCACTCATGCTCTTTCCTCAGTGACATATTTCATGTACAGATGAACCATCATCTAAAGACGATTTTGACTAATAACACTTGCAGTCAGTTGATTTTTCGCAACATAACTCTACTGATTTTCAAAACTGTCGCAATGATGTATTAGCAGTTCAAATACTTCTAATTTCAAACAATGTGAATTATCTATTCCAAGGTCATTTAGGATATAATAAAAAATCGTTGGATTAAATAAACAGAAGCAAATCCTAACACATTGACTTCTTTTTGAAAGATTATTATTTTCATTATATTCCAATACTGTAAAAGAAAATTATTAAAAAAAAAAAAAAGAACAGTTATAAGTTTTGGTCAATTTTCCAAGGAAACATCAATCTCAGAAAATTCTACCTGTTATAATTGGTTAAATAACCTCTACATAGCAATGCTGCTGCATGGGATACAGGCTTCTTCCATCACTACCATGCCTTCAGTCAGCATTCAGCCCTATTGCATGACAAGAATGATAGATGACTTCTGGATTTTAGCTGTTCTGCTCAGTTCAATATAAATTTAAGGTCTCAGTTCCATGATCAGCTGCAAGAAAATGACTGACTAACTAAACATGGATGCAAAGCTTAAGTCCTAGTTGAGGATTTAGGAATTCTTCATTTGTTTCAAATTTTTAAGGTACACAAATAGTAGCATCCATGTTTCCCTTGGGCTGACCATTCTTTGATACCCTGTTTCTTAAGGCCTGTTAAATTTCCCACTGTGAAATTTCCCACAGGCCCATGGAGACACACAAATAAACTTGATTTTTGTGACTTCGTGAAAAAAAATATTTTTAAATTAGTTATCAGATGTTTTGCACTGCCATTTAATTTTGAGTGGCATAGCTCTTCAGTACCACGCCAGCATTAACAGTTAATCTTACATTTAACAAGTTCCCCTATGAGATGAAAAAATCATCTAAGACAATTGTCTTCTTCACACAAAAAAATTCAAGGGACAATCCAAACTGTGAAGTGCAGGTTGGTCTTGGTTTGCTCTGCATGCAGCTCAGTTATGCACTTAGTCCTAGCTGAGGCGTTTTATTCTCTTACATTACATTCTGAATTTTTCTCAAGAGAAAAAACAATTATTATTACGTATTTCACTGTGTATCTAAATAAGATTGAGTTTTAAAGTAATGCTTAAAACAAAGTATTAATCTCTGAAAATCAGAATCCGATAAAATCATAGGCTGGAAAGGGTCAGCAGCTGCCCAAATCTCCCACAGACTTTAAAATGTATTGTTTCAGGTGCCATAGCTGAGATCATCAGACCTTGATTTTAAGCTATTATATGGAAACCTTTGAAAATTTGTTCCCAAATAACCAGGAGAAGAAAATAGATGCATTAGTACCCACTCTAGCACTTTTCTGTTTTTCATTATAACCAGTCAGTTCTTACACTGGAGAAAAGCCAAGTTAGAGAGCCTGAGAGAGTTGGAGAACAAAATTGTTCCTGAAAAACATCGTCATTATCCAATGTTTTCCCTCCCACACAGGACAGTGGAACCCAGATGCTCTCAATTCTTAGAAATGAGTAGAAAAAGAAGAAAAAGTTGCAAGGGCAGAAAGAGCTCTGATTCCAGAGAATGTAAGTTTACAAAACTGTTTAATTTTAAGTAAAAACATCAGAATCTTAGGTGGTTATTCTCCATTTACTCATCAAGACAGAAATCCATCTTTGTGCCCAAAGCTATTTGTCAAATTGCAAATATTTATACTCTACTGTGGATACATACAGGTAATATCTTGGTGAGGCTATTAGTTTTATTTTAGCTGAGCTACTATCCTAGCTATTTCTGGCAAAGTCTTTCTAAAGATGTTCATGTTTAATTGCCTCAAATTTTCATCCTGCTGTAAATTTCTTAATGTTGTCTAAGTTTAATGGCTTGTTCTAATTCTCCTTAGGTAGGTGTCACTGTAAACTCTTATCCTCTGTTGCACGACTTACTCTAAAAAAAGCCCGAGTAAGACAGAATTTTATGTAATTGTATGAATGCCATGAAATCTTGCCTAGTACAGCTCCCACCAGCAAACAATGTTTTCTTCTGCTTCAAACAGCGAGCTGTGGCTCATACCTTCTGGCAATGTGCCACTGATCTGCTGTGTGATTGTGACAATATTCATTAATCCCTTTGTTTGCTCATCTGTAAAAGGATTATAAAGGTAAAGTTCCATGTAATTTACCCCAAACTGCAAAGATGCAATGGGATATTGAATGTCCCAGTGTGTTCACAGGAACAAAATAAATACTGAGAGGAGTAATGGAAGTAAAAAGGATAATCTGTCTATATGCAAATAGAATACCTTATCCCCGAACAACTAAAAGTTTCTGAGGAAAAAAAAAAGTGTTAATATATTAATCTCCTCCAATCAGAGTGAGTTAACATGCCCTACCTTGATTATCTGACTTCACATTACTTATCAGATAATTAAGACAAAAGAAATTCATATTGGCATGAAAAAAATAACGTAGACAATACACTACACTTTAAAGATAAAATAGGCAATTTCCATGAAAAGTGTCTCAAAGCTAATCATACATTTGTGATACTGCTTACCAAATAATGGGAAAAATGTTTTTTCTCTTTTTTTACCTTAAATTAGATGAACAGTTGTCATCCATTTGTAAATGCCAGCAAAATTTAGGAAGCCTTGAAAATAAAGCGGATGAGGCTCTAGCTCACTTTACTGAGCCTCTGGATGTAAAGTGTACTGAAGAAGATGGAAAAGATCACAAAAACAAGAATCAGAGTAGCTCAGATGCATCTGAAGATAGAGAGCTTGATAATGTATCATACAGTGAAAAAGAAGTAAAGAAGGAAAAGAACCATCCTCCTCAAATGTTCTCACCTCAGCAAGATGAAATCCTAGCTACAGTAACTTTTGGTGAATCAGAAGGCTCATCCTCAGGAAAAATTACACTTTGGGGCAAGCCAGACTCTTTGGAGTCTGTTAGCTTGGCTACTGGAAAAATTACTGCAGAAGTAAAAGATGGTTCTTTTAATGTGAAAGTAGAAATTGAGAATGTTTCTTTGTTTGATTCTGAAAGAAACCCTGTAGCTGAGAAAAGGAAAAGTTTGAATAATAAATGTTCTCATGAAAGACAATGCCAGAAAAGCCAGTGTTCAAAATGTTTTAAGTACCAGTGTCCTTCAACTGACCATTCACCAGAACACAATAGGAAATACAAGGGATCCTCTAAACATAAAATTCGAACTGCCACCAACAAAAACACCCCCCTGAAAATGAACATTGAAACAAAGGAAATTAAAGTGGAATATACCAGCAGAAAGAAAAATCTAAAGGTTAACATCAAACCTGGTGAACAGACACAGAGCAAAACCTCCAACAGGGAACATGAAGATACGTATTGGAGTGAAACAGATTATTCTGTAGCAGAGGCGCCTTGCAAGACAGATTGTGAGTCATCTTTTAGCTTTCGTGAAAAAGTAGACTATACATTCCCAGATGGATGTGCACTTCTTCCTCCACCTAAAGAATTTGCCGACTGTGACAAAATGCATTTGGATACAATTGCAGAGGGGGTATCTTTGTACCCTGTTGATGACAGAAAGGAATCTGACACCCTTTCTACAGCCTTGAGAATTTGGAGTGAAGAAAATTATTTCTGTAAACATAACAAAAAGGACTATGAAGACCACATCAATGAAAAGGAAGATTTTTCAAAAGATAAAATACTTTTCTCAAAAATAAGTAATACAAATTGTTTTGTAGCTAGTAATACCTTGAATAACCCAAACACTGGGAAGCAGTGTATCAGTAAGAACAATGTATTAGGTCAAGAAAGAAATAACTGTAACAAATGCAGAGACATAGGACAAAAACCAGCAAGAAGAAAGTCTTTCCCAGATACTACCCTTGATGTACCATCACCAGTTCACCCTAGAAGGGATTCTGGCTTTTATTCACTGCCATCATTAAAAGTATTGCCTAAGGAGACCAAAGCAGGGGATTTGTATAACAGGAACTCAGATATTCATACCAGCTATATAGAACTTTTTAAGTGTCCTGACTTGATGTCCTCATTGAGAAGTTTGAGAGGTCTTAAGTCTTCATATCAGTATGCTTTCACATCGTTTGATCATAATATTACTATTTATCCGTCTGAGCCTGAAGAAAGTCTAGATGACACTTGTTTGCTGAATGACTATGCAGACTATGTGGACCAAGATGAAGAAACAGAAGAAACATTAATGGAGAGTCTTCATTCCAGTGGTACTATAAATGAGAAAAAAGAAAATGGGTATGAGGAGCCTCTGAGAAACCTAGCGACATGGGAGGAAGATTCTAAGTCTACCAAAGATGCTTTAGATGAAGGGACACCAGAGTACAACCATATGGAAAACCATGCTGATCTACAGAACAAAGCTCAGCTGGTACAGATCTCTCCACATTCTAGAAGCCCTTCAGGTGAACTTATTAATGACAAAGAAAGTATGAATTATGCATCTATGGAAAGCACCCCAAACCAACTTTCAGCTTTACAGCAAAATGTTCACCCACCCCCTCCAGAGCCTGAGGTAACAAAGAAAAGGAGAGGATCAGTAATGACTGTGATAACTGGTGGACTAGAACGAAGATTCATCCAAGGCGACACTAAATTGATACCTGATTCTTTTGGCTCTGCAGTAAGAAAGGAGCCTAAACTTGCCTGTAGTATACAAGAAAAATCCTTGCTGTCGTCCTTGCTAATAGATCCTGAGGAGCATGACATAAATAATGAATCAGAAAGCTTTTCGGAGATGCAAGACATATCGGAGGATATCCTTGTTGAATCTGATTGCCATAATGATTCAGCACAGGCTGCCATATTGTCTACCTCTTCAGCATATACAGAAAAGAAAGAGAATTTCACAGAACATTCAAGTCTCAAAGGAAGACCAAAGAACTTTTGCAGTAACCTGTCAACTGATGGTAGCTTAAGGAGAGAGCCTGGATCACATCAACTACCTCAGTTAGTCAAATCCAGCTCTGATGAAATTGAGAAAAAGATTCAAAATAAAGCAGATTTTCATCAGAATGCAGATATCTCCCCATTATCAGTAAAACAGATTAGTCAGAAAGGTAGGTGTTAAAAGACTTACGGAGTTCATATCACTTACACACATTTTGCATGGGTGGTTTAGTGCTTTGGTGACATCTTTTTTGAGAAAATGAAAGTATAATATAACTTTACATATTGCATTGTATGCTTGGCCATTTGATTATAATATGCAGTTATTGTGTTGAGGATCCTAGGAGCCATCTTGTAGAGTCAAGTAACTTAAATTAAAAAAAAATAAAGAAAATTTTAATGCAGCTTTGCTCAAGAAGTGAGTTTCCTACATTAAACACTCAACCCTTCCTATACATTTAGTGAGAGAAGCGAACACCAAAATAGGAAGGGGTTTTTTTCAGTTGCCATGTAGCCTGAACTCAGAGCTCTTGTCAGTGTTTAAAACCACATAAATCTGTTTATGGAATCCATGTGATCTAAGCAAATACTGAATTCTAAGTACATCTCAGTCCTAATTCTGGCTGCGCCTTTACATGTCATAGAATAACTGTAGTGGGTCATTTAACCTTCTTTTCTCCTCTCTTTATGTGGCTAATATAACTACATATGAAAAAGAATTATTTTTAATAGCTAATCTTTTAGAAAAGTTCGTGTCTCCCCTTCTGTAATCCATCTACCCATATCCATAACTGGTCATTTAAAAGGACTGTTCTGAATCATAAAATTATAAAGCCATAGTGGGACACTGCACGCTACAATGTAAGCTTTTTACATTGTGAATATGTACACACACATATGTGTGTGTGTGTTTTTGAAATATCACTCCAAACTCTTTAATTTTAATTTTTTAATATCAATCGAGTTATATGCAAATATAACTCAGATAGTCCTCTCAGAAGGTAACGTTTCCAGCAGGGAACATGGGAGGTCAGGAGTTTTATACTGTTGAAAAATACATACTTCCTTATAATTGGAAAATGTCTTGAAGAATATTAGTAAAAAAAATCAGAAAGTTTTTAATAATCTTCTAGTTCACAATGTCTGCAGAAAGTACTGATGTGTCTTCCAAGATTGTCCTGTTTGGCACTGGTAATGGAAATGTCAAAAATACTTAAAGTCTACATAGACTGTATAGATACACTATGTAGGTAGATACTCCTATATAGATCAGTATCTAAAATACTAAAACAAATCAAAAAATGGAAATCTCTTTAGATTTATAGCAGTCCAGGCAATCTAGAAGTCTGCTGGTGTTGTGGGAACTTGATTATTACCAGAGAGGCGAGGGCAAAGGGCACTACAAGAAATCAGTTTCCTGACTTTCATCAATAGCGAGCTGCCCTGGAAAAGAGGCTCAGTGACACAGGTCTGAGGTGGAGATCTGACTGAAGCTAGAAAGAGGTTATTGATCCAAGAGACCACTTACATAATGCTCTAGGGAGCCTGTTGAGGCTGGGCTCACTTGTTCCCTGTCTACCCTTGCTAGTGGGTACAGTTGCATTTTCAGAACAGGATCTAACACAAAGTCTGTTTTCCAATTTTTATTTCAGCTAAAACAGTCATACACAAATAAACTTATACTGCCCTACCTAGGAAGAAACTTAAAGTAGAGCGGTATATCTTCCTTTTATCTGCATGTGTGTCTTGCAAAATTTTTAATGTTTAAACAACACTTAATATATCTACATACTGCTGATTTCAAAAATGTGTGAGCACTTGTAAATAAAATCCATGACCAATTTACATGTTCCTGCAAAACTTGTGCCATACAAATGGCTATGAGGTATTTAACTGCAGATGAAACTACTACAAGTTGATCACATGTACTGTTCTCTGCATGAAGACTTCAATTAGTCTAAAATATATACTTTATTAATATTTTCAGTATAATTTGGTATTTTCATGTCTATGGTTAGATTATTCTTGTGTTTAGAATATGGAAATTTTAAACAGTGTAATTGCTTAAGTTGTCTTACACATTCCTCACAAATAATGTCTGGTTGTAATTTAGACTTAAAATCAGAAATGAATAAAACGAGAAAGCTACCTTTGATGAAAGACAGCAGAGCGAGTGATAGTTCCCAGGAAGAAGCAATAGACCAGTGGGCCAGGAGACGAAAACAGTTCAAAGACAGCAAAAAATGCAGTTCAACTGGAGGAAGCTCCATAAACAGCACAATCACTGAGGGATCAAGTGAGTACTTACAATTGAATTCTTTCTCTTTTGTGTGATTGACACTCTGACAGGGTTTTCAGCTAAGGAAACTGATTTGCAGTTCATAACATGAGTATCTGTCTTAGTCGCTAACATGAGCAAGCGTATTTTATTCAATTGAACTGTTCCTCACTATGGGAGTTAGAATCCTCTCTCCTTCATATAACCAAGAGAAAATCTGATGGTTGATTGTACCATCCTTGTCCATATGCAGTTAATGTTAAGACAAGGTCTAGGCACAGACAAACATAATCGCTTAAGGTGGCAGCTTTGAGGGTGTAACAAAAATCATAATCTTGATGCCTACTTTGCTTATGTCAAAGCTATGGTGAGCTGGGAGTCCTTCTCTCCTCTCTGAGGTAACCACTCGCTCCACATTTTATCTTCAGGCTTTTTGCTTAGGTTGTCCTTCACTGTCCCTCCAGTTACTGAAACCAGATAGTCACATAACTGTGTCATTAAGAAATCTGTTGCCTCGCCATTTGCTTAAGCCTGTACCAAACTCATCAGCTTAAATTGTATGGGAAGAAATTTTAAAGATGAAATGTTTAATGAATTTATTTCACACAGATGGAGTCCCCAGGCAAGGACTGTACAGTCTAGGAGAGGATGTGTGTGGTACTTCTTACTTCAAACTGCCTTTGCGTACTGTTTTACTATTTTGTTAATGTAAGAAGTACTTCGTACAGCTGAAGAAATGCGCACTTCCTTCTGTAAATATTTTGTGTTATAATGGTTACTTTTGGTAAGGAAAGTTTTATTTGTAGATGTATAACCTCCTTTTTGAAGAAGGTTAAATGCAAACCTATAGAAGACTGACAGCTGTCAGACTTCAGTGCAGGTCCAATACAAGAGAAACTGTAAATATATTCTATCCCTGTACTGAAAAGGAAGGTCTTACATCAGCAGAGCCTCATTTCACTACCTAAACATAGGTGTCAGTTGCCACTGGGACACCAATAAGGTTCTGAGATATGTGACCTACCGAGGACCCATGCCTTTTTGAAGCAGTAACTGGATGGCAAGTGAGATACCCTGAGGCTTCTAATATGGTTCTAGCCATCTATGTTCAGATAACTGAGTCAATCCCTAAGTTTTTAATGCCTATTAATAAAGCAGCACAGATGACTGACATTTCATGTGGAAGTGAAAATGCTGTTTATTGGTAGCAGTTTCCATTCTTTGCCCCTAAGACAGATTCAAGTCCATGGTAAGGAGGTTAGAAAGTTACCATGTCAAGCCACCGGAGCTCAAAAAACCTATCAGGAGATACATACACCAAGATTAACTGTTCATTAGTTTCAACAGTAATGTCTCTTGAATATAAAGCTGGGCCATAAATTTTACTAGATCAGGCACATGCTGGTTTCATAGAGAAAATATTTTTAAAAACCCAAGAAGTTGTAAGAGCTAGAATTTCTTTCCTTGAGACAAGGCTTTTGGTAGCACATGGCATGAACCTGAAGTGGTCTCCAGGACAGGTGAATGAGCAGACAATTCTGTCACAAATTCGAGTATCTAATCATTTTGGATAGTATGCTACAGGCCTGAGACTTGTGTCCCTTTTGCTTTGGTAGCCAGACTGTTCCCTGGTGTTTACATACTTGAGACAACTCTAATCTGTATTTGTGAGCAGCAGCTCCTTACATGCTTATTTCCAGCAACTGAGAAGAACTTAAGTGCAGCTTGCCTCTGACACTCAAACTGCTTCATTTGACATATGTGCCAAAGGCTCAAGGAAGGGAGACGTGAAAAGACGTTCAAGAAATATCTTGGCATAACTCCGTAGTGCCAGCGTGGCACCATTTATCTCTCTGGTTTTGCCTATTTGTCATGTTTCAAGCTCTGCTACAATTGTAACAATTCAGTATTCAACTGCAAAATACTGTGCTGTACTGAATTGCTTAGTCTAGGTTTTCTTAATTTATAAATTCATGGTAGCAAGATAATATGTACTTTAAACATATCAGCCTAATAGTTTTTATTTATTTGTGGGTTTTTTTATTTACTTTTAGCTTTATATACAGTTAATCATGCCATCTCATACTTTCTGCATAATAAGGGAGAAGCTAGTAGATGTGAAGTATTTGTCCACATAGACATGGTTAAGCAAACTGTCAAAGTGAAAAAAATACTGCCATTTAGATGTATTCAGGAAATAACTTGCTGAACAATACTAAATAAAGGTTAATTTTTATCTTTTCTGTTTTGAAACTGGAAATCATTCTGCATAATTGCCACATCAAACACAGGATAGACAAAGCAAACAGATCCTTTCTCCAGCTGCATTAAATCTATCTGCATTATACCAGACATTTTATACTGAGAGGAACATGATTTCTTTTTCCCCTCAGACAGTTTATACTAAAGCATTTTATCAATGTAACTGTTAGCGTGGTCTCTGATGATCTATACTTTTATATACCTTTTGCCATCCAGTTTTAGCTTTGAAGTTCCATCTCCCAGTCTGCTTGGGATGTTGTCATAGTATTGTACAGTCTTTTTCTCCACAGTCAAACTGCTGTTTATAGCCTGCCTGGCACACAGCCAGCTGCCTGCTGTTCTATCTCCTTGTGAGCCTGAACATGCTGCTTTTTTTCTTTAGCAGAGAATTAGAGCTGTCCTCCATCTCCATGTTAATCTGGGTGACATGGTTTGACCCAGTGGACTCATTGAAAGAAATTGTGAATGTAAATTAATATAAAATATGAATCTGAAAATCCTCATGATAATACATGTAACAACATAACAAATATTCAACAGCCTAGGACAAGCCAGAAGTTCTACATTTAAAACAAAAAAATCCCCACAAAAACTATTCTTTCCTTACCTCCTTTTTATTAAAAACCAAATGTACACATCTGGAAGAGCTAAGATTAAGCAAACAGCAAATATAGTCATCATTACCTGAGTCACACCAGTTACTTTTCATCTTCTCTTTTGTCTTCGCATATGCGCTGAACTCATACTAATTTCTAGCAAACTTGTTTGGTTTCCTAATCAAGTGGGCCACATAAAAAAGCTTAACAATTGGCTAAACCCAGACTTCTCTTAAAGAGGTGCAAGTTCTGTTTTGACCATTTGCATTAAGACCTCACTTGACATTCAAGTTCAACATACAATAGCATCCAATATTATAATCTTATATTTGGACATCTTTGCAGACTGCCCTTTAACAGCAGCAAAATACACAAATAAATACAGACATTACAAACAGTTCATTGAGGAGCTTGTGGCACTTCTTCCATGCTGACTGGCTGAGGTTTGTTATTCTTCATGCATTTTCCCTACTGACATTACTTTTACTTGTTTTACCCTCATGACAGTAAATTCAGAGGATGCTCGGTCAGTAGATCTGGGACTACTTTCTGAAAATGAGGACAGAGGGTTTTATACAGAAAACTTTCATTCTGCTTCCTGGGTTTTCAGAGGTGATGATGTTTCTCCGGATAATAGTCCTAGATGTCTCAGCAAAAGGCCTAGACCAGTGGCAAGTAAGTTGGCTAAAGCAACAGGTAATAAATGTCATAAAACTTTATTTATTTTGGGCACTCTGAGGATTCAAGGTGATCAACATTTTTGAGAAGAGGCTGGATGCTTATGCTGAAGACAGGAAAAGGAGCAACCCAAGAAGCTAAAAGATTATAGAAAACATGAATAAGTAATTCTTATTTAGCTACTGTCTTGCAAATTGTCATTATTACTTGACAAAATTGATAGTGGTAAATGTACATGATACCCAATAAGGGTAAAAGCAATGTAATTTTATAACTTCTTCAAGCATGGCAAAATCACAGAGAGCTGTTTATGGATATAAATTATTATAATGGTCATAAAATCTGTTGTCCATCAAACTTTCAAATACAGTAGATCAAGAAAGAAAAGAATCAAGTTTGCTATGGGTATGAAGAGTTGTTCTATTTGTGGTTTAAACACTGTCATGCAAACAGATAGAGTGACTAACTTTTGCAGGGGGATGGGAGGTTTTTCTTTACTTTTCACATGTTAAGTTACTGAAAAGTAACAAATTCAAAGAACTGAGACAAACTGAAATACCCCTGCCTGCAGCTTTCCAGGAGATAGTTCTTTGCTGGAGCTCATAAATCATTCACAATATGAGACAAAGCAAATGTCCTCTATAAATCTCCATATATGAAAAATCTCCCTTAAAATATATGAGAATATTCTGGAGAACCATTTTGATCGCATTTTCTCCAGTGGAGACATCAGAAGTTCAACAAGATAATTAAAGTAGGTATTGAAGTATCTATGCTCTTTTAGACAGTCAGTTGTCCTGCTAGCAGAGTAACTTTTAAAGCAATTTCGATCTTCCAAATAGTACATAATTTGAAGACAAAACAGCTGTCATAAATTAATTAAATTGGCCTCCATTAAACAAACATGATAAGATAGTCAAATGATTAAAAGCAGACACTCTGAGACTTCAAATTTACACTGAAGTCCTTCATGAGCCAGACCAGTTGAGACACAACAATAATACTATACCCTGAGAAAAAGCTGAAGTAGGCAATTAGACCCTGATCTTCCTTTTACTGAGGGTGATCCCTTTACATGTTAAATTCTGCTGACTTGAAAGACACTTCACATGGGTACATCCACTGGTGGCATGAGATGACAGTGTGGTGGGCAGTTGAACTAGAGGACTGGGAGGCAGTGGGAGTGGGAAGTGGACAGGGAAGGTTAGATGAAAGGAAAAGAAACAATTGGTATCCAAAAGGTAGAAACCTTATAAAATATAAAAAGAATAAAACTACAAGAACCAGATTTAAACTCATTTCAGAATTTAAAGTGTATTTTGTATTTGCAGCTTAGAGGTCTGACGTAGAGGGCAGGAGCACTTTTCGCTCCCAGAACACTGTTGGTAGAGTGGAATATCTGAATGCTTCTTCACCTCTTCATAATCAAAGTCCAGGCATTTAACTTAAACTAATGAAAGTACACTTCACTGATGCTGTCTGGTTTGCCCTAACATGAATGACATTCAATCAGTCATAGTGTGGTTTGCACTGATAGAGGAGCAGCAGCAAACAGCTAGGAGTGTTACTGAAAGCTTGCCAGAGATTTGCAGAATCAGTAGCTGCCCATGCCTATAGACAAAAAGCTTTACAAACAGGCTGCTGCTTGTTAAATTGAACTCGACTTGTAGAGAAAAAGGGATGACTTTTTTCTGTTTTGCAGTTCGTGAAAGAACAGTGAAGATCGCTAAAGGAACTGGCAATTACCCTTGGGGTTTCAGGATCCAGTTCTCAAAGCCTATCCTTGTGACTGAAGTTGACACAAGTAAGTTGCGTTTGTACTAGCTAACGTCTCCTATGAAAACATATTTAAAAAAATATGTAATATTTAGTAATATAATATAATACAATATAATATGATCTACATAATTCAGAACAACTATTTTATAATAATACATAGTGTAGATGTGCATAAAAAAATCAATAATTAGTGTGTGTAAGATGTTTAGTAACGTGTCCTTGAACTGCTCGAGACAGCCTGTTTTAGGGCCCCAGTATGCCTGTGTGTAAACTCGACTTCACTGTTCTGTGTCCTTCCATGCCAACTGATACCTTAGGCAAGTGTCTGCATCCAGCCTTTCTCCAGATGTAAAGTCTAGAACTTCCGGGGACTGACATTCGTTAGTGACAACAGGCCTTTAAGAATCAAATAGAGGATACAGTGGTCCTTATAACAACATCCAAAAGTCTTAGTAGCTGGGGACACTTCTACTTGGATGGGTTTCCATTGAGCCATCTATAAATTGTAACAGGTGTGCTGTTAACTTATGCAGGGTAGTCCAATGATTTCCAGAAGAAACTCAGAAAACTCAGTGAGTGAGCAAAAAAGCAGCAGACGAGTGTCAACAAAAATGGAAGTGTAAGATAATGCCTCTAGAAAGAAATTATCTATACCATGACTACATGATATAGAACACAGTATTCGTAGTTACACTCAGGAATGAGATCTTGGGAGTCACTACTGAAAGGTCTCTGAAATCATCAGCTCTGTGTGCAATGGCAGCTTAGAAATCTGGCTAAAAGCTGGCTCTGTCAATAACAGCAGTGAGAATCAGACACAGGGAGTCAGAGACGTTTTGCTGCTACCTAAAACCTTGGTTCACTCAAATCTAGAGTATTGCTTGCTGTACTGCTCTCTGCATATCAGGATGGACACAGTAGAATTATAGAAGGAGCAGAAGAAATCTGATAAATTTCTACTACCAAAGACATACAATGAAAAATGTCATTCTACACCAAGAATGCTAGTGTGTGCCCTCCAGCAAGGCATATAAGAATAGCTCTGTTAGTGTACCAACTTACGGATTATATTGTCCAGCTTCCTGACAACTCTGGGAAAGCCTGTGGGTTCAGAGGCCTGTGAATCCATTAGCTAAACACATCATTTTAAAAACTGCCTGCTGAGCTACTAAATATGGTCATCATTAAACTCCACTAAGGAAGATCAGAAAAGTCAGAAATCTGAGCAAGGGAGAAATACGCAGAGAAAAAAAAAAAAACACATATGAAAAGAATATCACTTTACTGACACTTGACTTGTATTAGAAACCCATGCATGCCCTTAAGATCTGCACATAGTTAGATTTATATCTCAGTCATGGTTTTTGCATCATGCTGCTGTTTAATTCTAAAAGTCATTGTAACTTCTTGCATCAGATCAAATGTTCTATTTATTAAATACTAAAAATATGAAGCCTTCAGTACAGAAGAGGAACTCGGGCAAAGGACAGACCTATTCACAAGAAAGAAGGGAAAATACAACCATTCTGTATGGTTATGCCTATTGTTTATCAAAGGATCTTGTAATCTTTTACTGTAAGCTATGTGAAAATACACATGATTTTGACACTGGATCCTAGAGATTTCTATTATTAATTGAATTTTTGCCAATAACATAAATCTAAAAAACCTTTGCCTACTGAATACTATACAAAGGACTTAGTAAGATTAAGTTGTGTCTAAAGTGGCTATATAATGTTCTTTGTCCTGAAACAGCTATCTTATTTTTAGTTCAGAATATTTTTTATAGTCCTTGAGACTAGTTAATCTTCACAGTACAACTTCTGTGAAAAGTGATTTACTGTGAATCTGAGGGAGTAATTTTTTGAATTAAAAACTTTGTTCTGCTCATCTTATTAGAACATTACTTTTGACTACAAGGTTAAAGATCAGTATGCTGATTATTTTAAGAAAACAAAATTACTGGGCTCAGCCATCATTTGTCTAAATAGCAGAACTGTGACCACGTGTGTATGCTTGGACAACTACCTGTTATTATCAGATTGCTGGAAACTTGAGTACCTGTTGATACAAAGTTATCTCTGATGCAAGGAAATGTTTCTTCTCTTTAGCATTAAAAATTTTAGATGAATTCCCAGTTGTAAACACACACATTCCCTTAGCATTCTTTGTACCAGAGTACAACCTCAGAAGAGGTCTTTCAAATTAGAATGTGGGAAAGTTTTTTACCTAAATATAAATAAATCATAGGTCATGTGTACAACATTGGCCCTAATACCTACCAATTTAACCCTGTAACTGACTGATTAAAATTAAGTATAGCTACTCATATTGTAGATCACTCCTCTTATTTGTATGTTTTGTTTTCAAATGCAGTTGCTTTAAAGCAGCAAAACCAACAAAACCAGAGTATTCTTTTTTATAGACAAACTACTAGTAAAATTAAGTTTTTTCAAAATACAACTAATTTAGTTAAAACAGACATAAAACTGCATTTGTATCCCTTTTCGGTTGCATACTGAGATATTATTTCAATAATATTTTAAAGATCACTTATGATCATAAAGTCTTGTATGAGACCCTCAAGACCAGCACAAACAAAAATGTGCTGGCATTTGCAAATTTGCAGATGATTTGCAATACGTATGAGGGTGAGCAATGGCTTTTTTGTGTCTGTTTTGTATTAAGCTTTTACTAATCTCTTCTCTACAGCCTCTAAGCATACTCAGAAACACACTGAATGATCCCATTTACTGCATGATAGGGTACAAAATCTTTAAAAATATACATTACATAGTATGGACATGGAACAATATTTTCCAAAAACAATTTTCTCACAGTACATTAGGAATGCTTAATTATAAATTAAAGGGAAAAACTGTGTCTGAGAAATTTGTAACTGGGTTTTAAGTAACTGTGTATTGGTGCCCATGAATGGAGCATATTTATCACTGCCCTAATTTGCCTCCATTCCTGGCTGGTGTGTGACTGAGCCCTATTTTATCAGGAGTGCATGTGTTTTGCAACAGTTAATGAATAAAAAAAGGTTGATATGTTAACAAACCTGATTCAGTCCCTCCTTCACTGACCCTTTGTTAACTTACTATGTTATCCCCCCATAAAAACAAAATCCAAAATACTGCAGTCAAATTCTGTTAACCAGCAAGAGAAAAATCAGCACAGAAAGTGGTCTTTTGGTCTTAAATCCAAAGCTCACCAGATAAAGTCAGATACTGACTTTACTGAACATTGCTCCATATCTTTGTTAGTACTTTAGGCCAAAACCCTCGGATACTGAAATGCCTATTTGTATCTTAAAGCATTTAAGTCCTAATTGGATTTTTAATGAAATTTCTCCAGTGCCAGTGATTATCTAATGTTGAACCAGTACTTAACTCCTGAAGTTTCATTTACAGACAACAGGTTACTCAGAAAAACTTGCTCCACCTCCAAGTTCCCGTCATGAAGGCCCCAAAACATAATCCTTGGCTGCTTGGACAGATACCTGTTTTACTGGAAAAGCTTGATCATGTAGCGTGCTTACTATCCTACCTCTAAATAAAATGTTTGGGTTTTTTTATTCCAGACAGTGCAGCTGAAGAAGCAGGGCTTCAGGTCGGGGATATTCTGATAGCAGTCAATGGAACTGATGTCACCAGCATGCCACATTCAGAAGCTGCCAATCTGGCAAGGAAAGGCAAGTTTGAGATCACAATAAATTACATGGATGGGTCAGAATTGCTGTACAATGCTCCAGATACATCCAGACGAGTTTGGTAACGGACGCGAGAGAAATCTTAATTAACAGTTTAATGCTTTAGTATTTAATACAGTAGTATTGTCTAAGTCACTTTTTTATCTTGATCTTGCTAGGAACACAGAAGGAAACACACGTACAAAATATTCCCCAAAGAGTACATGTGACTGTCATGTTTTTGGGTGTCCTGCCTCAGAGAGAGTGATTGAGAAAGTCCTGAAAGTGACAGCAGAGACACCAATACCTTATTTATGCCTTATGCATCCTCAGGGAGAGACTTCACAGCTTGGTTCAGTGCATCCAGTAGTTATTTCTGTGTTGCCAAGTCCTGAAGTCATCAGGAGAGCCAAGAGGTTATTTCAAGAGACATTCTTTTGCAGCACCACAGAAACAAGGAGTCAGCGATATTAATCATGCATATTCTTCCTGGAACTGTGATGACTAAAACCCAGAGATACCCATGTTTTCATGCTGAAAGTTAATCTACTAGTTAATCTACTAATCTTATTTATCCCAGATATGATTTTAACAAGGACTCACCGGAAATCCGATTAATTAAAATGCTTTTACAAGACAGTGACAAATTTAACTTGACAGAGCAAGTTCTTTAATTATAAAGGTGCCATTCACACTGTTATATTTAAGAGTATGTTGAGTCTTTTACTAGATAAAACTGATTACTGAGTACTTTTAACTCCTCAGAGAACATCCCCTGGCCTAAATCTTGGCATGCAGACAGCATTCCTAAAGCCAAATCTCCCCAAAAGAGAAATCCAGCAAATGTTTTGCAAATGAAAATGTGTAATAGTCACATTTCTCAATCCTCTTTAAGGTGTTGCACCTGCTCTGAAGCAGTATCTGATATAACCAGAATTTCAGGTCTTTAGGGTCCAAAGCGTAGATGTTTTGATAACATTAGTGGATGTAATGAAATTGTACCTCATTGTTGATAACAATAACACAACATGTAACCTAACATCTCCTTTGAACACCTACCTTTTGCAAATGATATGTAGACACTTTAGCACAGGTTATCCTCCAGCAGCAAGCCTCCTCAGTGATGGGCACAAATAGCAGAAAAGGTTAGTAGACTCCAAGACACGGAAAAATAAATTCTCAAAAGCATATGTAAAATTATAGAGATTGAAGGTACCTGTAAGAGCATTTTCAGCATTTTTTTGTGTAAGCCCCAATTTACGTACACCCATTTGAGCAACGAAATCCAACCACTTCTCTAAACTGATAAAATATGCAAGCACCTGAGATGCTGCTTGGAAAGGTAGGTCACAAGAACTGTTTTAAGAGGTGTTTTGAGCTAGCTGGCTCCATTACTAGTCCTCAACACAAAATCAGTTTCATTCCTGAATTTCTGTTAAAAGAATCCCAAATATTGCTTGATTTGATTCGTTGTTTCCTAGGATGTTTTGCTTCTTGCTGATTCTAGGAGCTACACCGGGAGGAGGAGGGCATGGCATAGAAAACTGCCTTCCTGCTCCACACCCTATAGGTGTATTCAAAAATATTGACAGACTGGATTATAGTTTTGACCTATGTTTTCACATTCTTCATGTAATATTTTAGGTCCTGATATTCTGATTATGGTGGTGGGATCAGATATCAGCCGTTACCCTAACACCCCCAGACCTACCTGCAGAGGATATTTGCATAAACGAACACAGTCAGCGATATTGAAGGGCTGGAGAAAGAGGTGGTTTGTGCTGAAACATAACGGCTACCTACACTATTACAAACACAAGAAGGTAAGGAGAGAGGCCGGTGAGGAAGCAAGCTGTGTCCTGAACTACAAAGTGCGGCAGCATGGTACTCAAATTTTCAGATCATTATCTTGACTTGCAGAATTTCCAGAGTCATACCAGCCAAAAGTTGGGTTTGTATGTAGTATATAAAAGAGGCTTATTGAGTAGTTCTGCCTTCATATATCCTAGTCACATACATAGACACTGTCTATGGATTCACATTTAATCTGTAAGTTCTGGTCAGCATGTCCACACTTAATCAAAAACTATGTGAGAACCTGAGCATGGCACCAAGTCCTTGACCTGTAAATAGTTTTCATCCTCGCTAACATGCTCACACACCTTTTGGTCAATACAGCATATGAAGCATATAGGTGTACATATACACACATACATATGTAGACATACCAGCACAATTTTGCAATAAACATGAATATAATCTAGACTACAAGATGCTGTTAAGGAATTTCAACCAACAAAAGACAATAGGGAAGCTAATACTACAGGCTTCACTCCTGATCATGAATCTACCTTTATATTGTTTTTTTTTCTATGTCACGTCTCTCTATTTTATACATCAGTCTCCCATCTATGTATTTCATTCTTTGCTTATATATATATTAGCCTGTTCGATCATTTTTACATGAATAGCAGAGCTACTCCAGTAAAATCTTCACTTGAATTTTTTCCCTTTTTTAGTGAAATCTAGAAACTAAATTATTTTTACCTGAAAGATGCTGATGCAATGCTTCCCAAGGACTGTACTTTGAGGACTGCATGGGTTAGTCTTTCTGAATAGTCCGAGATCTCCGATACCCCTCACAAGAATTTAATTAAATATTCTTTTATTTCTTTCAACTAACAGGTTTCTCTTTAAGCCTATCTTTTCTTCCCCAGGTAGCTTTGTCTTATTTACTGAAAAAATAACAATTTCAATCATACCAACCTTGTGTTTTGATAGTAGGCTCTGTAACCACTGAACACCTGCATTTGCTTTTGCTTAAAAGGAGTAAATAAATTTAAAGCACTGCATAAACATTTCATAGTAATAACTACTGTTTGTTTTCTTGCATTATCCAAGACTAGTGCCATTCAACCACTTTTAAAATTATTTCATACCTTTTTTTTTTTGCCAGCTGCTCTCTCTCTGTCTCTGGACTCCAAAGATACACTGAAATATTGGGTACTATTTAGCAATAGAAAGCACAGGGACCTTCTTCCCTGCCTCGTGCGATTACAGAGTACTCTGAAGAGTTACTTAGTAAGACAGAAGAACTGTCTTATGTCATTTAGTAAGACATATTAAACACAAATATGCTTCTTCACTACTAAGAGATCCAATGCCTGAATGAAGGAACAGGGAGCTCAACTGGACTTGTTGGCACTTCTTCCTTTTGGTATGATTTCTATTAGGGCATAAGAAGAACAACACATAGAGATGCTGCTCATTGCACTTCCTTTTCTAAGGGAATTACAAATAATGTTCTTAGTTTAACACAGCATTTATGTAACATGTCAGCTGCATGATTAAGTTGGAAACATTATGTTCCAGGCCTTGCCTTGCTCAGGAGGAAAAATTTTCCGCTTAGTGGATATAAGCTGTTCTTTGAAACAGTTCATTGAAGGCAAGAATTATTCAGGGAGACAAAAATAGTTCAAGATAATCTGCATGTCAGTATCCAACAAACTAACCAAAGCCACCAATTTTCAGGTCTTTATTATGATGTTAAGAACAACAGCTTTCACTGGTGTAATTCCAATGACTCCAGCAAGGTCATGCCTGATTTCCACCTATGTAAAAAGACAACCAGGCCTTTTATTTATGCCTGAAGGGGTGCATATAATGTTTTGTCATGGAGAAAGGAAAGGGTGTTTCATCTTCTGCTTTAGTCCCTATCAACGAACAGAGAGCGCTACCTTTCCTCACCATTCCTATTTACAGGCAGAAGTTATCCACCCAGAGCTTTCTTTTCCCACCTGCATTAAAAGAGAGACTGGTGTTTCTAAAGCTTTTTACATATTGATTCACCCATGTAATTGTGCTGTTTCAGACTCGTCTGTGTCCGATCACATATTGGTGAGGTAATAGCTGTTGCAACAGTTTCAGTCACTTTACATAGAAGGTCATTTTGTTATCCATCAAATAGATACTGCCACTGACCTTGACTCTACAATCCATATAAGTAACTAAAACAAGTTTTTCACCTCAGTAGACATAGCTATGTTTGCCACCTCATGGCAGAAATATTGGGCACATAGGTTTAGAACCTTGCTTTGTGTAAATTATTGAGGTCAGTGGAGATATAATGGTTTGTAATATTTTTGCCTATACTTTGGAACAGTGGCATATATACTCTACAGTTCTGGTCCCTCATTGTCCAGACCACTAGACCTTCTCAAACATGCTATTTCCTTCTTTGCCAATGTACACAGTTTTTCTCCTGAAGGAAAGATATCTGGACATTATGAGAAGATAGGCAGTGATGTTCACTTAAGTCCTACCCTGAGGCAAATATAAGCAATCAAGTTTCATGTGCTTGAACTTACACATTTTTTCAGGGAAAGCTGAAAGCACATCAGCATTGATCCTTTCTTTACAGGTAGCAGTGTCTGCTCCTCTAAACTAGCATTTCATGCTTAGCACAGTAAAGTGACTGCAAAGTCACCAGAAAATGTCCATGGTGAAGACTTCAGTGTAAGAAAGAGAAATCTTAATCAGGTTTTACATGAGAGCAGTAAGATAACAAAAGCAATCTAGCCACAACAGGTTAAGTAAGGTCACACAGACCTCTGAGCTGCCATCACCGAGTCGCTTTTAAAATCTGGCAGCTAACTTGGAAACTTTAAAACATGCTGCAACTTTCAGGATAAAAAATTATTGGTCTTGCAAACCCATTAGAAAGAAAGAACACGATTCCTGGAACCCAGGAATAAATGGGACAATAAGGGGTTTAAAGGCTGTGGAGCATGCATTCCTCTGTCATAAGAACATACCTGCTAGAGAGCTGACGGTGTTCTAGGCTCAATAGGAAAGCACAAGTATAAAGAAAGGTTTCTAGCCAAAAATACGTTTCCCAAAATTTCTCATTACAAATATCCATCATGTAAGGAGCTCACCTACTTAAATGTCAGGATTTACAAATCCACTAAAAATGCCAGCCAGAGCCAGAATTTCCCAGGTTCAATTAATGCTTTCTTGCGATATAAAAGTGGTTAAAAAAATATGTATAACAAATGATTTTTGTGCATTAAAGAAGAGGGGGAAAAAAGGTAGAGTTGACAAAATTAAAAGAATTAACAAAAGATCATGTTTGTAATAATGCTTTAAATCCTCTGTCTTTCGTGTCTTGCCATGTTCCTAGGAATAATTTCCTGTTGCTTTGCTATAAATAGACCCTGGGAAAGAGAACAGATAACCAGTCTAGTACCTGAAAAGGAGAATATGAAGTAAATATCATTGAGGTTAAGGTCTAGGAGAAGCTATAAAAATGACTGGCTCCAAACAGGAAAGTTTTAGCAATGTATCTCCACTGCAGACTTCCCTTCCAGAAATCAGAGACTGATGTATTCTAGTAAAATCAGCTCTGTCTCTCAGGTGCTTATGTTACATTTGTCATTTATTCCATTTATCTCTCCAATTCCCTCAGCTAAGAATGATGTGGAACAATAGTAAATAGGAATAAATGTCTAAACAGTATGAGTTTGCTGCCAGCATTTTGAATGGACTCAAAGTAGGAAAATCAAAAGAAGATACGAAGGAAGTAGGAGCAATTAACTTGGAAGAAGTAGTGTCCCATCCCACTTGGTGGGTTTCAGGGTAGGTGGATCTTTTGTATCTTCCCTTTTAAAGGAATTTTCCTCTGCAAGGCAGAGATCCTTTGCTTGGCAAAGGCAGCGAGTTAATAACCCTCTTTGGTCAGTAGATTAGCAGCAATAACGCACTTCAATAGTAACATTTCACAGATTGGAAAATGGTAATATTTCACATTTTTCTAATCACACAGTTCGGATAAAGGTATGACTTTCCCTAATTCTATCTAATAATATGGAGAGAGAAGAAAGAAAAAAAAAAAAAAAGTGTGAAAAAGAGAAAGAAAGAAAGAGAGAAAGAAAGAAAGAGATATCACTGCTCCTGGGGTCCAGTGACATCTCGCAGGTCAGGTCTGATCTTTGGTTCTTCAGTGGTTGGTGCACACCTGTGTCTTGATTACTGGTAATTAATTGTCCCTTCTATTAATATTCATGAGTCTTATTCATGTTATCCCCTCCTCACTTTTCATGATAATTAGGATGCGGGTGCAGTATGAAGCATCTTGGGGGGGCCAAGGGGTGTTCTGTCTGCTATAAATAAGGGAGTGGATCTCCTCAAGTACAGTGTATAGCTGTAGCTAAGGGAGCTGGCCTCCCCAACTCCAGAAACACCCTGCTTCTGCAGGTTTTGTACATTTGGATAGGGGTGGTTGGGCAGCCACTCCAACAGAAGCCCCCCTTTATCAATCACCCCAACTAAAGTTTCTGAAGGAGAACACCATTCCACCCTCCTGTCTCCGAGGAGGGAGCACCCCTTCATCCCAGTCTCCAAGAAGAGAGCACCGCTCCACCTTCACAGGGCTTGTTCCCTCCTTGGAGCAGGCTGCACTGCAAAGTGGGCTGTTTTTAGGGCTAATAGATGAAACTTGCACTGTAAAACAGGTTTGTTCAAGACATATCCATAAAATCTGCCAAACAGGTTGTTTAAGGCAAAAATTCAGACTGTCCTTCACAAGTAGTTAAGTTGGAAATTGGTGTCCTGACTATAGAAAAGAGCATTTTTTAGAAATTCAGATGTAGCAAGTGATCAAACTGTGAATAAAGAGCAAATTCACTGTTACATGTAGCCCAAGCCTCAGAGAAATGGCCTTCATATAGTTCACGATTGTAATGCTCTGAAACATGCTGCAAGAAAACTGCAACACATACTCTTGAGAAGTACTCTCCCTGAACACAGTGACAACAGGGAAGGG